GAACCTGAGCTTTCATAATGTATGAAACGTGACGACTTGCACTGAAGATCACTAACAGGCATTTTTGGATAATCAGAGGACTTTTAAGTTATTTCTTAAGTCCTTTCATGTAAGGTGTTTTTAAGACTCACCTTTCTATTCTGTTTCCTAGATCTGAGGAGAAACATTCTTTCTCCTATAATTCTGGTTCACATTTTACTTCAAAACTCATTTGGGTTCACCCAGTAATTTGGAATTGAACTATGGCATGAGAAGGAAAATAAAACATTTACAGATATTCCTTAACAGCTGCTTTAGAATTACCTCTCTTCCAGATTTATTTAAGTGGTAAGAGATGTAGTTCTCCAGGCATAGCAGTAGAATGAGGAGTGAGCAGCTCTGTGGAGCAAGGGCGTGGCTGTCCAATGAGTGGAGGATGCTGCCATGCTGTCCATCAAAACTTAGCTATGAGAAACCTGGGACCACTTGGGTTTATTTGTAAAATACATCAGCAAATGCTTGAATGGTAAGTTGGTTCAACCTGTCTAATTGTGCCTAAAACAGCCAAATTATTTGAGAGTCAGGAATCCAGTTCCAGGTCACAAAGCCCCAGTGAGTTTAGGCTCAGCTAAGAAGGGCCCTCTTTCTCGGCCACTCATTTGATTGTTAACAACACTCTGTTCCTGTGTGTTTTCTAAGGACAATCAGTTTCTCCTGAAGGGCTGTTTCTGTGTTGCCTGTGTTGTCCCTCCACTCTGAATCTCACAGTACAGCACATTGCTTCCCGTACTTTGAAAGAGGTCTGCAACCTTTGGTATCTAATCCTCGAGATGGCAAGTCCTGACCTTTGATGTGTTCTGTTCATTAGGACCAGGAAACTAAACTCAGCCCACTCAAGGGGATAGGATTACTTACGGACAAGAGATGGAAGACTGGGGGATTAATACACGTCTAGTGGGAACATTGGGACCCATGGCAGAAGCTACCTAAATCAAGCATGATGCCAGTGCACTCTTGCTATGTCTAGATTGATGGACTGTTAGCGGCCTGAGGTATGGATATCACCAGTTTGCAATGCTAACTATGGCATTTATAAGTACTAACTTAGGGGCCAGGAATGTGATCTCTCATAGATACCAGATTGACTAAATGCTGAGCCAAGCTTGCTTGAACACCAGGAGACCAAGGGAGTGAGACTTCAGGAATGCTTAAACTTTGGGCCTCTGAGACCATGAATGAAGCTGGGACCCTCATGGCCATATTAGCATTGTGTTCTAAAGTGGGAGGGCCAGAGATCTCAGTTTGTATTCCATTACGGGTCTCAATGTTTTGACTGGTACTTTTCCAGGAACAGGGCCTGCAGAGAGGTTCACAAAATAGTCACTAAGGTGGTAGAATGAAACGTTCTGTTTGTTTGCCTGGTTCCTCTATCCCTACTCCCAGCTTCATGTTTAGTGAAGAAATGTGAATTCATCTTAGGTGGAAACAGTTCAACACTCTTTTCTGTTTTTAATTTCAAGTTTTTTATTAGAAAATCAGTGTACCTTTATGAGAATTCATACTTTAGGCACCTGTTCAGGTGAATGGTGCACAGGTTACCATGTCTCTGACGGGAGAATTTAGGGATGAACATTTTAATTCTTTGGCTCTTCTTACTCATGACTGGCTCTGGGAGAAGCCACAGATCTTCCGATAAGACACTAGCACACTTGCAGACAAAGTGGCCTGGCTCTTCGTGTGAACTCAGTTACCACACGACCACTACAGTACCCTAAACTATAGTTAGTATGCCTACCACAGCTGGAGGACACACAACACAAAGGCAGGAACTATGTGTCTTATATTTCTTACCATCCCAGCATCTTATAAAGATGCTGGCATGGAGTGGGGGGTTTAGAAGTATTTGAAATGGAAGGTGACACTCTACTTTTTTTTTTTAAGTGTGAACTATAAAAAACAGAAAACACCACAAGACATGATAAATATACATATAATTTGTGATTTTTATCTATCAAACTATATGTAAGTTTTCTTTTAACTAAAGTAAGGTTAATGGTGGTTGTTACAGAATGATTTTTTTTTCCTGGAGTTTGAGGCATTGGCATTCCCCACAGAGTCCTGGCCTATTTGAGGTTTTCAATCTCTCAAGTCTGTCTACCAATGGCTCTATCTTTTGCTTATTAGCAATCCCAGGAGGATTTCATTTCTGCATTGACTTGTGGGACTATTAAATATTTTAATTAATATGTCATTTTGTGGTTTTAGTGCTCTGCCCTCTGCCATCTGTTTCCTTATGACAAGTAAAACACTTTTAACAAATTACCTAGTATCTTCCAAGACTACTAAAGGCTAACCATCTATATTTAAAGTGGTATAAATGTATCCACCCTCTGGAAGCCAAGTACAGGCTGCAGAAATCACAAATTTAACATGGAGTAAAATGCAATCTCACTTTTAAAAAAAAATTCAGTATGTAAAAGAAGTTTTGGTAATGTGTGGGATATATTTTTAAGTTATTTTTTGGTTTTGTGTTTCAGTGTGGAAAATAAGGAAGTCAGGTGACTAGGGCCTAGCCAAGGTCATTTAGGTTGGTCATTCCATAGAGTTAGGGTCATACCCCATGGGCTGGGTGGGCCTAGAGATCACAGGGTCGGGCCACTGTGGTTTAAACATGAACTCACAAACTATATCATGCATGAATATTATTTGTCCACACATGTTTCCCAGGATTGGAATAAAATGGTTCAACAGCATCATAAGGGGTCATCCTGTCACTGTTAGAGCTTTCTTGGTGATAGGTGACTAACGGGGGGGACTGTTGAGAAATAAGCCTTTGTTTTTCATTTTATGGAAGTCCACTCAGTATCTTTAATTCACAGAAGGAATCTGTGTAACCAATAGCAAAGGCTCATGTCTCTGTAAGCTGATAAGACAATGCTCTAGTTTTTCTTTTCTATCACCATTTGCTGTTGTTCAGTTTCTCTGGTACAGTCTACAATAACTTAATGTCGGAATTTACCTTTCCTTGATAAAAATCCGGAAAACCTCCATGAAATCAAAAAAACCAAAAAAACAAAACAAAACAAAACAAAACAAAAAACTCTTCATGAAAACAATTCCATTTGTTATTTCTTTGAGCCTGCTTATCTTGAACTGTCATGTTAAAAATCAGTCTTTTGCATGTGGCATATGAGTCAAGCTCACAGAGTTATGAAATTAGTTCATCTCTGCTCAGAAGAGGGCAACGTGTGTGTGTGTGTGTGTGTGTGTGTGTGTGTGTGTGTGTGTGTGTGTGGTGTATTTGTAGGATGTACATTTGCAGTTGAGGTCCACAGGAAGGACACCATTTCCTGGATCAAACCACAGAGTGTAAAATATTGTGCCCTAAATAACACACTCGTTGCTGTTAATGTCAGTAGGGGGAGTCTTCCCAACTTTGATTTAATGAGCGCCTCCAGCAAAGCCAGCTGTTAACACTCCTTAACTACTTGTCAGGGAGACCAGGAGAGATGCAGAGGGCCAAACCATCTTTTCTCTGTATTCTGCCTTAAAATGAAGAGTTTCAACAAGTGTTGAATAGTGGCAGTGGAGGTCCTTCAGTATCTGACGTCCTTTAGCAGTTGAAGGAGAGTTCTGCAGATTTGTGTGGATCTGTAACTCCATAAATAAGGAAGCTCATGCAGAAGAACTCTGGAGCTTAACTCCTGTCATCTCAAAATGAGCATTTTTTTTTGAGCTCCTCATGAAGAATAATATGAAGATAGAAGAGAGAGGAGGCAGATGAGACACTGGCTGCCTCTTTGTCACTTGCAGTATTACCAAACTAATTCTAAGCCATGTGCATTTTGATTGATGTCAGCTGCTTTTCTGAACAAAGAAACCACTTAGAGGCAGATGAGAAGTTCTAGAACTCTCTATGTAGGCCAGGCTGCCCTTGAACACTTAACAGTCGGAGGCAGATGAGACACTGGCTGCCTCTTTGTCACTTGCAGTATTACCAAACTAATTCTAAGCCATGTGCATTTTGATTGATGTCAGCTGCTTTTCTGAACAAAGAAACCACTTGAAGCAAGTCTGCGGGGAAGCAAGTATGTGGCTCTCATTTCTGCAATTTTTGTCATTTCTAGAGAGCATTAGTTAATACATGTGTTCATGGAGGATCTGACCACCCTTTAAAATCCCTTTGACACTGCCCTGTGAGTACCAAGTGGAGATAATCTTAAAAAGTGGGCAAAGTGTAAGATCTTATCTTGAAGAGGGGAAGAGAGTTTCTTCCTCAGATGATTTATAACTTGAAACATGTTGTCGTGTTTTAGTAAACCCACTTTATTAATTCCATCCTTCTCTGTGGAAAATTAAAAGAAGATACATGGGCTTTTGCAGCACTGTCCTTTTCTCAATAGCATATTGTGCTTAGAATAGCATGGTGGAGTCGTGGGGCTGGGTTAGTCATATAGAAAGCACAGCCAAATTCTGAGTAAAAGCTCTAATTGAATTACCTGCCGAGCACTGACAGACAAGCTCTCAGGACAGACAAAGCTCTGCTCTCCCCAGCAGAAGTAGGTCATGTTGAAGTCCGCCTTGCAACTGTCTGTTGCTGGTTTTGACAGCACTCTCACTGTGGGGCTCTGTTGGGCCCTTTTTCCTGCGGTTGAGGAGGAGCTGTTCCTGAAGCAAGAGTTCAAGCATTATCCTCCTGATTTAGAGAAAATTGATAGCAGATCAAGTTGAAGGGAAGTGCCTTTGAAATAGAACTCGTAAGCATTTTTTTTTCCTATAGATTACCACATTCCTGCACGATTCTGCCTTTATTGTACTGGAAAAAGAAGATGGGGGCATGAAGTCCCCTTTCTCTAGCATTTGGCTTAGTCTGAAAAGTATTGTCTTAACTTCAGGACAAGGATTAGAGTTATGTCCCGAACGAGTACATATAGACCATTTATTTGCAAGTGAAAAACAAAGAATAATGGGTTGTTCTTCTCTCCTTTCTCTCTTGCCCTGTCTCTTTGTCTTACCCACAGCCTCTGCAATCCCAGACAATGGAAGGAGGTCCTGCCTAAAGCTCAAAGTCTTTGTGAGACCAACAAGTAAGTTCATAGAATGGGTTTCGGAGGGCCCCTTCACTGCGCATGCTTTATCTGTGGTCTGGTTCACAGCGGTAAAAGTTTTATTTTGTTTTATTTTTACTGTTAAATTTTGTGTGGTACCTGTTTTGTATATCCACATCCATGTTTTAGTTTTCATCGTATTTTTTCTCATCATTCTCCATGATGCTTTTTATTTTGTTTGTAAAAGTACACAGCAGTTGCTAACTTGTTGTTTCTTAGACTGTTGTACATGCACAGCAAATGGGAAGGATCTCGGCATGTGGAGACGTGCCGTTGATTGTTAAAACAATCTCAACATTAATAAAAGGAAACAATAGAGAGAAAGAGAAAAAAGAAGGAAATGGGAGTTTGAGGGTGTCTTCACTAACATATTTGGCTGTTATCTCTATTTTTGTTATAGATAGCTGTATGAAAACTATAGGTGTTCATGATCGTGTTTTCGATGTTAACGACAAAGTAGAAAATTCATTAGAACCAGCAGGTTAGTATGCTTAGAGAATCTCTCCGTAACCAACGCATCTACCTCTGGACGCTTCGTGCTGTTTTTCCTTTCTTCCTCTCTGCATGCGTGCATGCCCAGCCGTTTCTGCTTTGGGCCATTGCTAGCAGCTTGCTAATATTGCTTATCTCCTGCCTCATCTCTCCAGTATCTTTGTGTAGTGCATGCTAGATAGAATCCAACGTTTCTTTCTTGGACATGGCTCTCATTTGACGCAGTATTCTAATATAGAAACTACCAGAATACTAAAACCTCACTGCCGTTTACCACATCCCCAGGGTGTGTCGGTGGATCACTGTGACTGTAAAGGCCAGTTTTCAAACCAGACAAACTATTTCTGTGGCACATGTTTATGAAACTCTCTTTTTAATCATCCCCAAATCTGTGGGTAAAGTAGTAAAGCCACTGCCCAAAACACTGACTCAGCATCTTTAGGTCTCTCTAGAAGTGTACGTGCATCGATGAAAGTGATCTAAAAAATTATATTTCATTTCAGTATTACTTATCCTGTTATTGATAGCGGTCAGCCTGAAGACATATAATTGTGCTGCCACCCCAAACGCACGTACCCACTGCCACCACAAGTGTACACTGCTGCTCCTTGAGCCAGGAGCAGTCCTTGAGTACTAAGACAAAATAAGTTTTAAAGATAATTTTTTTCCTACTACTGATGTTCATACTCATACTTCCCCTTCAGTATGAAAAAAGTAAAAGCCACAAGAACATTCATTTAACCACTTACAATGTAGCCTACGGGTTGATAGTGTAAACCGGGACAAGCCGTTTATTTGCTTATAAATTTTGGCTGGGTGAATGCAACCAGACCCACTGTGATGTGTAGCCGACCTCTAGCCACTATGTAGAAGCCCCTGTCTTCCTTTAGTCCATCCATCTATGTAGACCTATATAGTTTTCTTTCTCTATCTCCCATGACCATCCCAGAGCCAAAGAGAAATAAAATCATTTGGTCCTCACAAAGAGATTTGAGCCCCCTTATGTAAATGATAAGGTTTCTGTTTGACTTTATTTATTTATTTATTTATTTATTTTGTAGGACTTTTCTTTCTTAGTTCTAGGAACTAAAGGGCTTTCCAGGGATTTCCAGTCTGCTTATTCTCTGAGTGGTGTCATAGGGATAACCCTGAAGAAGCCTTAGGGAAATATACCTTGAGGAAGTGCTGTGACTCTAGTCAGACTTACAACAGCTTTAGTGCTATAGCTGCCAGGAAGAGTTAGGGGTTTCCCAAGCACTCTAGTCTTTTTTTTTTTTTTTTTTAGGCAGGCATCTCAGCCAGAGCACAAATGAGAGAGAGAGGGGTGTATAGGAGCTGTCAGGGCCTTACTGGCTCCCCAGGGATTGGTTTCCCACTTTAGATGGGAGCAAGAAGTGAGTGCTGGCAACATGGAGACATTTTAATTGTGTCCTGAAAAACCGGAAGCATTACTGTGACTTTTCAAGGTACCAGACTTCAAGCTTGTGGACATGACCACCATAGGGACAAGTTAAACAGTCGTTCTTGCAAAACCACATAATATACATTCTGCTTCCCATGGCCAAGGAACCCTGCCCAGGCCACTCAACTTGTCAGACTTCATATCCTTAGCTCCCATTGCTGGGATAATAGGGATAGGCTCTTCCCGCTACTAGAGGTATAGATGTTCAGAGAAAACACGTAACTCTCTTGGCTTCACTAGTAAGTCATGAGCAGAATGACCAATGGGTTAGGCCTGCTATAAACTTGCTAGGTCTATAATTTTGAGATGCATTTCCCGTGATCTTATTTTCTAGGTAAAGTCAATGGTCTCTCTAGCAAGGAGGAGGACCTTGTCTAGAGATATACGAGATTTCATGGTTTTGTTTTTTTCTGGTAATGAAGAACACTGAGGATTATTCTATTACTAAGAAAATCACTTTTGAATTGGACTAATAATAAAATAGAAATGTTAAGACATAAGCATATGTCAGTGTCTTCTAAGAAACAAGTTCTTTCTCATACAGAACTTGGAATTTGCAGTGGCCCCAAATCTATGAACATGTAACTGACGGAAGTTGGAAAAGTTTAGCAGAGTATAGTTTAGTGTGTGTGTGTGTGTGTGTGTGTGTGTGTGTGTGTGTGTGT